TTCCTAGATATGCCACTGCAACAAAGCCATTTAAAGTATGTTTATACTCCAAGAGGCATTCAACGTCATTACATTAACATCACATTACATGTAACATTAATTGCATAAAATCTGTTATTCACTTACTTTGAGCATATTGAATTCATAATGCTGGTAGCCCTGGAAACTCTCCTGTACCGCAGACATTGTACGCGATGTTCGCTCCCAGAAGTGCAGTATGGAATTCTGGTACGCAACAAGCGTATGTGAAAACATATTGCAGCGACTGGCTCCGAGCAAGTCTATCTTCTGGCAGACGTCGGTCTTGAGTTTGTCAAACTTCATCTTAGTCATACGAACTTGTGCTTGCACCTGGAAAAACAACACATTTTTCATTCAATATACAGTATAAGGCACACCTGCCGCCCATCAGTAATGATGATTTCGAATAAAAACAAAATTTTATTTTTGGTCAATTAGAGCACCTGCTGCCATTTGAATTCCTTACTTTGTGAATTTAAGTTATTAGATGAATATTTTCTCGTAAATTAACAGACATAAAAAAATACCATCCATTTAAAAATTTTTTTTTACAAAAACCCTTTAATTGTCTGGTAATCTGTTCTGATATTAAAACGTCTATAAATCAGAGTAAAATGAATTATTTTGATACATATTTCATTGAAGGTTATCATTTTTTATAATAACTTATAAATGAGCTTTTCAATTTTTTTATTGAATTTTTGTGGTTTTTCAAATTTCTACTTAAGATGGTAAATTTTTAATGAATTTCAATTTAAATGTAAATCTGTAATAAAGATTTATTGCCACTCAAAAAAATCCCTCGAAATTTGAACAAAAAAAATGTTAATACATTTTAATTCAGAAATCACTAAATGTGAGCATAATGCCAAAGATGTACGTTATTATGTACTTTTCAAAATTTGTAATTTACAATTCAACAATAAAATTTCATGATTTCTATATGATTTGTTAAATTTTTAGTGAACACAAAATTATTATTCTTTAAACTTGCTTACTGCACACTGCACCTTTTTGAAATATTAATTATAATAAAACCTAATAAAATAGCAGATTGCATGAAGGAATACTAGGACCATTAATTGCAAAATTGTGTATACTCAGGGATGTCGTTATGCAAGGTGGAGGTGGGCAGGGCCACCCAGTCTTGACGTCTTGTGCCCATCCAAAAGCCATTCCGCCCAGCTTCATACAAACCCTCCCGCCCACCTGTAAAATCATGAACACAAATTTTTGCCCAATAATAATGCTTTTAAAATGCATCAATGGATTCTCGCACCAGTTAGAATTTTGTTCTACAAGGTGCTTGCTTCACTGAACGTAGAAAACATGTGATTCGTCACTTTACATGAGAGCGAGGTGGTTTGTTTGAAAACACGAGTTGTCTGTCTACAAAGTGGTACAGGCAATCTAGCATGTAGCCGAAAATGTCCCGAATTGTCAAACTAACGACGAGGCCTAAGCTATCTTTTTCATCATAAATTTTGGTTCCCGGTGGGCTCTACAACCTATTGAAGTACTGGACTGTAATAATAAAGTTTGCAAGCCCAGGCTTACCTCTAGCACGTGTAATCATAGCAGAGATTGCAATGTAGAGTGAACCATTTTAAACGCGGTGTATGGACAGTTTTACATATTCCATGGTAAAGTTCATGACAACCAAGTACGTAAAAACAGGGATTCCCCATACTGGGAATAGGCACTAAAATTGGCATCTATCTGTGTTTTACGCGCTGTATACACAAGCACACACTGCCCCGGCCAAAAGTTAAACCGTGAAACACCCATGAGGTACCCCCTCCTAGGCAAAATTTGACACGATTTTTCAAGTGTGGGAGAGGGGGGTAAGCTGCAACATACTTTTGACATAGCTAGCCTAATTTAGAAAAAAATGTCAAAGGTTACAGCATGGTTACAGTAAGATAGTTTTCCACGAATGTTGTTTTAGGACAGCATGCTCTTACTACATTCAGTTTAAAACAGGCATGTTATTGTTTTGATTCACTTATTGCAATAATTTCAAGGTCTTTAATCATTATGCGGCGTGTAATACATTGAGGTAAGTGAATTGATTGATATAAAAATAAGCCTCTCTAGCCTGAATAGTGCTAACCGTACGTAGTGCTGGTAGGCCTACTGGTCGTTGATTAACAGTTAAGGATAGCTAGGATTAGCTGAAACAAACAAGCATTGCGTCATTGTTTCCCTATTGAATGTCCCAGAGCTGCAGAATGTTAACGTGTAAAAGCAGGGAGTAGTTGTACGAGCAATCTTTGTTTCCCACGAGTCACTGTAACCATGGATCTTATTTCGCTTTTAGTGAAGCGAAAGCTCATCAACAAGTTGATCTTAGTTTACATTCAGGCTGTAATTCACGACTGAAAATGGGGAAGTCCCTTGCCTACTAAGCCGGAGATCATTACCGCCGCCCAGTGGTAGATATTTTGAACTATAGAAAATTAACAAGATACTGTATGTTAAATAAGGATAGTAGATACATGTGAAATTGTTCCCATAATTTTGTTAGTTTAATTTATGAAATATTTTTATTAGCAAATGAAATACACTGAGTACATAATCTCGGCATTAGATGTATTTATTTATTACTAGTCCATGACTACTATATATATTACATTTTCATGAGACATAGCTAAACAGAAGAAAAAGTAGACATTAATGATAATACATGATGATGACCATTGTTACAAGGGCTAATAATAAATTATTGTTTTTCTTGATTAAAATCATATTACTTGCATGAGTATTCATGTCTTTTTTTTTTAATTAGGTACGCACATATTTTCATAAGCAATCAAAACAACTAGGCAAATTGTTAAGTTGCATACCCAAGTTGATCATTTTGGCTCTCTAAACATCAAGAATTTCAGTGTTTCAGGGGCTTTGCCTTGATACCCATCCCCCATCCAGTCCTTCGGCGATCGCTCGGTTGGTGCCTCACGCCAAAGTATGCACACTTTCTCCCACCCTAAAAATTCTAACACCCACCCTCAGTTTTCAATAGCTACATCCCTGTATACTGTACTACAGTATACAGTAGTTTGGAAGAGGTGCCTCTGCTCCGTGTTGCACTGGTTATCACACTAGCTAGAGGCCAGTAAATACAAGGGTAATAAATGCGCAGCACAAATGATCTTTTTAAACATGGATCGGACATCACTTTATTCTCAAATCAATATTTTGCTTCTTATAAATCATCTTAATAGATATTCCATGTAAAAAATAATTTCCTGTTATTAATTAGTTATATGTGCCATAATGTATATTTTCATCATCATATAAATATTCATCATTATTGGGAAAATTCAGGGGAATATTTAGCTCTATTTGGCCTTGTAGCCTATACAGGTAGTATAAAGAAACTATAAATTGCAGAGTCTCATGTTGGGTATAATAATGCTCTTTCCTTAAATCTTGCAAAACATTCATCTCAAAAATTCAGATACATAATTTTGAATATGTAGTTAAGATTAAATTGGGGCAGCCAACCAAAGCCAAATGTATTTAAGTACGGACTCAAAGCCCAGAAGGTTGATACAAGCAGACCATTATAAGTGCATCCTGGGATCTAAGCCAGCACCATTGCTATCTTAAATCAGCACATTTTTTTTGAAAAAAAATATGGCTATAATACAAAGGTCAGGTTTATAGTATATTATAATTCATCTTCCTTAGAAAAATTCACAGCGATATAACCAGTCATCAAACTATGTAATAGATCTCTTAAAAATACATACTAAAAAAATGACCTAATTAGCTATCAATAATTACACAATAAATGGATACTTACAAAGAGCTGACAAAATTAGTAGTAGGTACTTAAACTTAAAGTGGCAGTACATACTTCCACATGGTCATTTCATAGTAGTAGGATTTAAGGTCTGTCCACATTATGTGACAACAGTCATGTGGTCAGGGTCAAGGCCTGTTTACTCATTAAGTTTTAGACAACAGCGATGTGCACGTGGGCAGTGGTGTGTCTGGGGGAGGGGTTGCCCGTCCAAAAAATGCTCGTTCCCCCAGTCGCTATGTCCTCCACTGGAAATTTTTGAAGCAAAAAAGTAATGCTATTAAGTAGTTACAAATCACCTCATACAACCTAGTTTCACCACCTAGTGCCCCTCATTTTATCATCAAGAACCTCCATCAGTTCCCCTAGCATTTCAACACCACTAGATATGCACTTGATATGACATCATCATCCCAGCATATGCACAAATGTTACAAAATACCTACTAATGTGGACAGAACACACTATATTATTCCACCAATCACAAGGAAGGACAACTCAGGATGTTCCTATTTTTAACAAAGATTAATGTGGGTCAAAATTGTATTATTTAAACTCAAAGAAACGGCCACTACAAAACGCTAATAATTTATCATCACAAGTTTTCATTTGGATGAAATTAATGAGATATATAAAACAGAATTTTATTACCTACCTCTAATTAGTGCTATAAACTCTACTTAATGAAAGAAGAATTATTTCAAGATACAAAGAATAAAGGGGTTTATGATGCTACTAAATTTGGGATATTTTTATTATTGATTTTTACTGGTGAATTTTCAAGAATATTTGATCACATTTTTACCCTACGGGCTTTACAGCAAAATGCTAGCAATACAATACAAATATTTGATTACTTTTTTTTTATCTAAGTTTAACGAGAGCAGTATAGTGCCAAATTTTATTAAAGCTGGTAGTAATTGTGTCATCGGAAACTTGGAGACATCCATGCCCTAGTTTTATCTAGTAAGCTGCTCGCCTTTTAAATGCAGGTTAGGCCCAAAGCTCGCAAAAACCGCGCCAATGGTGCCACGTCAGGCAGTGATTAATAGTTGAAGCTAACACATCATGGAACACCAAGAGAGGACTTAGTCTTTCTAAATACAGTATGTTTCAAAAAATTATATGATCCAAATCCTGATTAACATCACACCCTTTTGCCTTAAAATGATAAAAATAATGATTAATTATATTACTTTGGCAGTAATATAAATCAGTGTTTAATAAATCATATATTTATAGGTATCCATTATTCAATTTTTTTTGTCCAGATTAAACTTTTCACATCACTTTAGAAGTGCTTTTTAATTAAAATTAATTACTGAACCATTGTGTGTTTGAACCGTTCCTGAAGAATCGTAATAGGGGATGTCATAAGGTTGCCTAAGGTTCAAGTGTATACAGAATAATTGTTATAAATACAGACAGATTACAGTATACTATTTATGCATGTTGAATAGATAGTTAAATAAATTATTATAATACTCTAGGTTTATCATTGTGGTGCTCAGCAATTATTATT